ATCAAACAGGCAGTCCGGGTAGGAAACGACAGCAGACATGACACTGGTGTCGATTGCGAGCTATGTCTTGTAGCGTCTCAAGTCAAGTACAAGGCGGGTTACGTGGACTCCAGCCTGGAAGGCGAGACGAACCAAAAGCACCCACCTTAGTCGTCAGTGGCTTCATTTTACGTTGCCACGTCAACTAGTGTTCACCTCGGGCTTTGCGCCACACTATATCTAGTTAAAAAACAAGGCCCTTTTCGGTAAGCGTTGATCAGGCACACGTAGTACGTGCCAAAACGGACGCAACTTATTCAGTGCTATTTGAGGTGCTAAAGAATTAGCGTGGTCATCACTTCCTAGTACTAGCTTACGTATATCATCGTTGCGGACATGCTGATGCCATCCGAGACCAACAATGATCAAAGACATGAAGGCGAGTCAGATGCTCAGACTCAGGGGGATTTGTATACACGGCCCTTTAGAAGGAAGGAAACCAATTCTGACGACAAAGATGTCGCAGTTCTAGTTTTTGCAATGCGTGAACTGACTTCAGCTGCTATGCATCCGTTGTTGTTGATACAGCTGTTAACATAGCTGGTGATCAACTACCTCGAGTTCCTCAGCACCAAGAGTCAAGGGGTCCTCAAGTGGCTGGCAGTCCTGCAGCAACAGTTCGAAGGTGCGAAACGCCTGCCAAAATAATGGGACCACTCTAGAGAGGCTAGTCAGGGATGATTGTGCCTCCCCAACACCATTAAAACGCAGGACAATTTCATCCGCATAAACAAGATCAAGTAACCTTTCACCAGGCAGCACCTCAACGCCTGTAACATGAGGCTCCGAAAACGAACACCCCATGATGGAGTCCACGAAGTAAAACAAAAATGAAGAAATAGAACAATCATGACGAACGCCAATTGTTGTCGTAAAGGCATCGGACAAATCACCGTAGACCCTGACGCGGCCTGTCGTGTTCGAGTGTAGAGCACGTAAAATGTTCTCGTATTTCGTGAGAACACCTCTACGACCAAGTATTTCGGACGGAATGCATCGGTCCACTGAGTCGAACGCACTGTTGAAGTCCAAGAACACAGCTATTGTCGGCCTGCGGTACGTGTGGCGCTGCTCTAGCACCTGCTGCAGATTGAATATGTGGTTTACACAGCCGGGTTCTGGGTGGAAGCCTGCTTGCTCTTCCCTAATCCGTGATTCTCGCTTCGCAGTGAGGCAACGAACGAGAATTGAGGCCAATAATTTTGTCACCACCGGTGTTAGACAAACACCCATGTGACTGGAACAGTCGGTGCGATTGATCTTGTATATCTCCACGATAAATGATTCACCCCAGTTAATTGGGATTGTGTCTGCCTTGCAGACTTGTTCGAACAGGGAGGTCCGTGCTTTGTAGAGGACCTCACCACCGTTCCTAAATATTGCAGGTGGGAGGGAATCCAGGCCAGGAACACGAAAATGAGCAACGGCTGCAATCGCGTTTTGGACCTCAGCCTCTAACGATGTCTCTAAACTAACTGGCCGTGGCTCAGCCTGCAAAACCTGAGTAGAAAAGGTCCATAAGCAGGAGGAGAACTGAACTGTCATCGAAAAATTTCCGTCCAACGATCCATACGCGCTCCTTACTGTGAATCAGGGCCCCCACGCTGTCTCTGATTGTCGCGCTGACGCCTGGTTTCTCGGAACTAGTGGTGCGTACCAGGTGGAAGAGCTCCTGCCCTCTCCATTTCTTGAGCCCTACTAGCCCATTATACTTCCTTGTCAGCACGTAGACTCTGCTTCAGTTCGCGCACAAAATTCTGTCTAGCTGCATTCTGTCCAGAGCTAGCCGAGTTTTATTCTGAATTTCGATAGATTCACCGACCTCTTGGATGTGACTGATGTGGCGACGATTGACAGTGCCGCAAGCCGAGGCTCCTGCATGTTACATGGTGACCAAAATCCTATTCCATTGAAGCTCGATGTCATTAGAACAAGAGAGCGAAAGTTCGCTACGCAGAGCATCCTGATAGGCTTGTCTGACCGAGGGCTGAGATAAGTTCTTAGTTGCCAATCGAGGGAGGCACTTGGTACGCCTCCCGGTAGAGGTAAGGGAAAAACGACGGCATACCAAAGCACGATCGGAGTCAGCGCAAGCAGTCCAGAACGAGCGACAATCCAGGATGGAACCGCGCCACCTGTAACTTATGGCAACGTGATCTACTTGGGTCCATCGTAGGCCAGTTATAGGTGGACGCCAAGTGGCATTTTTGCGCCCTTCGCGTCTAGAAGCCGTATCACTAAGAAGCAGTTGGTGCGCCGCACAAAGCTGTAACAGACGCTCGCCGCTATCCGACAGGTTGGAGTTAAGTCCATACTTACCACCAGGCAGAGTTTCTTAAGAGCTCAGATGACCTACTTGTGCATGCATATCAATGCAAAAACTAGGATATTTGAACTGGTTGCACTGTGTCGCAGCGTGTTCAGTTCGTGGTAGAAGGCGACCATGGTAGCATCAGAACTGCAGTCAGTGCGGTCATAAGCGGAAACCACATACAAACAACGTCTAGTTCTACTCCGTGCATCAACCATAGCTGATATCCGCAAACGGCGGTTCACGGGCTACACCGCAGACAGAATTCAATACATAATGCTCACCTTCCGTCCCCCATGACTCAGTGGCATGAGCTGCTGGCCAGTGGTGCAAGGGACTAGCAGTCATGGGTTAGATTCCCTGAAAGGGACCGAAAAATGCGCACTACTGATGCGTCACAAGAAGACGAAACGGCTGTTTGGTGCTATTCCTGATTATTAGTTAGCCTACGTGACTTTTAAGCTAATTAAGATGAACTAAATAAACCTCACCAAATCTATCCACTCGTGTTTCGGATAACTTGACGGGTAATCCAGTACGTAATCGGTATCTGCCGGCTTACAACGCATTGACCTGTTCATTTATATAAACTACCTAGTGAAGTGGTATTATACAACTACATACAATAACCCAATAAAATGTATATCCAAGTTCATGGAGTTTAAATCCTTCGGCAATTTTTCCTACCCCAATTCACGATCACAATGGTGTCGTCCACTTAGCTCCACCAAACTTTATGTGGGCCGCATTTTGTCGACGTTCTGATCTTGAAATCTTTCAAATATAAGCGTGCAAACGCAGATAAGATTGGCGATGCAATGGTCGGGCATTTTATTCGAGTGTACACCAACTGGAAAACGAAGCAGAACTCGTTATGGTATACCGCCATACCCGAGACTACTTTGCCAATTGAAAAGTTCTTTCTGTCACTCTGAGTGCTGCCTTCGCTTGCACAATGTCACCTCTGGGTATACTGGTCAAAAGTGAGGTTACCATCAATTATCCGGCTTAATGGTGAGCCCCGTTAGTTTTTGGGTGAACTCGTAATTCTTCACAAGCATACTCGTTCACCCTTTTAGCGGTTGCAATAGCTCCACTAAATGTACACATAAGTTAAATCATGAGAGAATTACGCATAAGGGTTTTAAAACACGAAAGGCACAGCTTTTGGTTACTAAGTAACAATCTTGAGTGCATGAGTCCAGTTACAGTTTTGGCGGAGTTAGTGCTCAAGCTAAATGCAAGGCATAAAAACTACTAGGGTAATGTGGAGGTCATTAGGAAGGGTTCGTGATCCAGGTCCCATAAGTTGAATGTCGAGGTGGTGAAAATCGCCATATTCGATAGACGCGTGGACGGAACGGAGTGGGTAGAAATCAAAACTTCAAACCAAGCGATCTTAATTTTGCCAGTCTGACGAGTATTGATGAGCGGATCAGAATGAAAAGTATAGGTCGATTCTCCCGTCGTCTTAACCAAGGCCTTATTTGTCAGTGTGACGATGCACTAGGGAATACTTGAACCTGTCCCACTGTGGATGAACCTCTTGACGTGACACGCTGACCCAAGACTGTAATACTCCCTTGTTTTATGTTAATATTATCGCGGTGATCAAAACTGATTACTTTAAAATGCCGCTTTGACTGCATACTGATTAACCTGATGAAGTTCGGTATCAGAGGCGAAACGTTGACCAACAAATGCATCAACCGATTATTCCCAAACCTCTCTGAATTCATGGCTTCTCGATCAATATCCAATTCTACGGTTTTGAACTTTTAAAGCTAAGGATCATTCCATTCGGCTAGGCCAAGAAGTCAGACATGTCCGGTACACACCTAGTAGCCCATAAAAGACGCCCTAACAATTACTGGCTAAATGACTTATTAGACAGGAACACAGTCGTTCAGTAAACGTGTAGAATCATTATTGGCATCGCCAGTTGAGAGGCTAAAACTCCACTCCCGGCATACTCTCACCTGAGTGTCCAGCAGATGATCCCGTAAGTAAACCAAAGCAAAGCTCACGTAGCTTCACTAAGTGCAGAATGAAAGCAATCGCGTGCACTTAGGTACAACAGCCCTAGTTGAATAAAAAAACCGGAATGAATAGCCAAGAGCTGTTACAAAGGTGAAACAGCTTGCAAAACACCTTGTAAAGCAGAGCTTAGTTTTTGGCTACCACGCGACAAACTGTGGTCTCAAGTACATATAAACCCTGTGCTCGCATCAATGGCGATAACTTTGCAATTGCTGTCGATACAAACAACAAGTGGACAAAAGTGTTCGGTTATAAAGAACACAAAGGCAGGAGCAACAGTAGCAACATTTTTGCAGATTTGACTATCTAGAAACTATGAGAGTGAAAAGGTAAGCCATACATTAGAGGGCTCTTCAGGTTTTGTAAGAGCTGTCCGACTAGTCATGTTCGCACACCGCCTTTGCAATCTCAAGTAAACGGTCAAATGGTAGGTTTTGTCGACACATTTATGCATGCGTTTCGGAAGCCAGAGAAAGGAGAAATAAGCAAAGAATTCAGTTGACGGTTCTTGAGGTTTTACTGAGCCACACGAAATTTACAAGCACCAGATGAAGTTTAACAAGAGAAAGACTTACTGTATCATTAAGTACGAATGTTGTTCGATACCATTGGGCTGGCTTGCCGAACAACCTCCTCGTGGTGCCAGCTGGGTGGTTCGGGTTTTTCCCGTTCCAGCAAATGGTTCGGCGGCAGTGTTCCAGGACGTGGTGGGTTTTCGCCTGGCAAGCGTTCTCCCTATAAAAAGCCACATATGTCCGTTTAACAACACTGCGACGTGGCGGATGTGACTCGCCACTAAATAAAGTCACTGCCCCTTGCCCCTCCCTGAGAGGCATTGTACTTCAAGGGTGCGTTGGGCCCCTGGTCCTTCACGGACCGAAAGGCGTATGAACCATCTATTTGGTCACCGGCTCCCAACGGGTTGCGACGCCCTCACATCGCCCTGCTGCCTTGTAGGTTAGATCTTTGATCAAAGGCTCGGGGTAGGGCCCCCTAAGACAACCCTCTACTTCGGCCTGGGCAACCGGGTAGTATCACGCCCACTGACGAATCATGGACTACACCGCTCACTACTGCTACTGCTATGCCTCTCTTCTGTCCTAACTCAACCGCTCAACGTCCACTCACAGACCACCCCACCTCCCGTCCTTCACCTACATGTACTTTTATATCTTCTACGGTCACCGTCACGAACGACCCACGTCTCGCAGCTGATGGAAGTAACAGCCAAACTCCCGGTTTTCAATGTCCTGCGATCGCAACCGCCTCTCACTCCACCGAAGCTCCAGCTCTTCTTCGACCTGGTTCTCCATTCATCCTCGCAGCGTTTAATGTTCGAACTTTGATGCAGATCGGACGACAAGCATGTCTGGCCCGTACTCTTGAAACGCTATCGGTAGACATCTGTTGCCTTTCAGAGACCAGATTACAAGACTCTAGCGCCGTCATCAGAATGGCCTCTCCGGTAAACTCTGACGTCAAATACTACTTGCGGCTTTCCGGAGACCCAGAATCTGCCGCCACTGGTCAAGCTGGTGTTGGGGTTGTATTAAGTGCCAGGGCTGAATCAGCTCTGCTTGACTGGATCCCAGTCAACAGTCGACTATGTGCAGTCAGACTAAGAGGTTCATGTAACGTAAGCAGGCGTCGAGATGTTAAGCGTGCCTTGTTTGTCGTCTCCGCCTACGCCCCTACAGACTGCAGCCCGGATGCAGTTAAAGATAGCTTTTACCAACAACTACATGAACTTCTACGTTCCTCCAAAAGGACGGATATAGTCATTCTTGCCGGGGACTTTAACGCACGGGTTGGCCGCCTTCTACCAAGCGAGCACCACATTGGGGGTAGTTTTGGTCTCGGTGGCAGTCGATCAGACAATGGAGACAGATTGCTTGCTCTTTGCTCTGATCATCGCTTGTTTCTTTCGAGCACTAGTTTTCGACACTCGAGGAGACACACTGCTACCTGGCGCCCGCCCTCACAAACGCAAGAGTGCTCCCAGCTTGACCACATAGCAATCAGCTACAGATGGCGCGGAAGCGTAACGGACTGCCGATCGTACTGGTCAACTTTTCTAGACTCTGATCACGCATTAGTTCGTGCTAAGATTTGCATGCGTTTCGGAGGATCACCTAAGCGCGCGCACTACCGACCGGACGTCGCGAATCTACAAAACGCTGCGATTTTAACCAGGTACCAAGCCTCACTGTCAACCTTGCTTGGCTCAACTGTTGACAGTGATCTCGATTCGCAGTGGGCGCATATCAAAGATGCTTTAGCTTCCGCCAGTATCGACACTTGTGGAGTTACCCGTCACCCACCGAAACATTGGATTTCCGCCGACTCCTTGTCGCTGATGGACAGACGCCGCTTGATCCCATCGGATTCCAGACACAGTGAGGAACGCCAATACCTTGGTCGAGAGTTGCGCAGGAGTCTGCAAATGGACCGCGAAGCTTGGTGGTGTGAACGTGCTAGGGAGATGGAGCTTGCTAGTCTCTGTGGTAATACCAGGAAACTCTTCCATCTCATTCGAGTCACCGAAGGTGTTCGATCTGGTATAAGTGAAACAATATGCGAAGAGGATGGCACCTTAATCACCAATCTTCAACGACGGTTGGAGCGATGGGCCGAACATTTTGGCTCGCAGTTTTGTTGGCCCCCAGCTCCATCTGCTACCTCTGGCGCTCGCTCTGGGGCCGAGTGGTCTACCCCAACAGACCCTCCCTCTTCCCAGGAAATCGAGCAGGAGCTCCGGCACATGAAGCGCTATAAAGCCCCCGGCCCTGATGGTCTTCACCCAGCTCTATTTAAAGATGGTGGCGCATCGCTGGTCCGAGAACTCACCGCTTTGTTCTCGAAAATTTGGTCGAAAGAGAAAGTTCCATCATCTTGGGGTGAATCGATAGTTGTCCCCATCTTCAAAAAGGGCCTGCGCACAATCTGCTCCAACTACAGAGGAATAAGCTTAGTCCCCGTCGTTTGCAAGCTGCTGGTGTCCATCATACTTCGCAGGCTCTCCCCAACACGCGAATCGTTGCAACGAGAAGAACAAGCTGGGTTTCGCCCTGGTCGCGGCTGCATCGATCAAATCTTCACACTTCGCCAGATCCTCGAGCTCCGCCATGTGTATCAGAGGCCAACGATTGCTGTGTTCCTGGATATCCGTGCAGCCTTCGATTCTGTCGATCGTACAGTACTGTGGCATTGCCTTCTGAGGAATGGTGTCCCCGAGAAGTTCGTCTCCATACTGCGCGCTCTATATAGTCTGACCTCGGGCAGGGTTAGGGCTTATGGCATGCTTTCGCCTACCTTTGTGGTCTCCAGTGGAGTTCGACAAGGATGCCCTATCTCTCCGTTCCTATTCAACTTTGCCATTGAGGATGTCCTGAAGAACGCTCTGAGCGATTCGTTGAACGCTGGCGTTGAGCTCCTCCCAGGTAGTCGAGTTGTTGATTTGGATTATGCTGATGATATCGTCTTGCTGGGTGACGATCCACAGGTCGTCCAACTTGCATTAAACCGCTTGGCGATTGAAGCATCAAAGTACGGTATGTACTTTTCGCCATCCAAATGCAAGGCTCTCCTTCAAGACTGGCAGGTGCCTCTGCCTGCACTCACGCTTGCTGGTGAGACACTAGAGGTTGTGGAGAGCTTTGTCTACTTGGGAAGTTGCATCACTGCTGGCGGGGCTGTTGGAGACGAGATTTCGATGCGCATCTCGAAAGCACGCCTCGCTTTTTCTAGGCTGAGGCATTTGTGGCGTCGCCACGACATTCGTCTCTCCATCAAAGGGCGGGTCTATTGTGCAACTGTTCGTGCTGTACTGTTGTACGGATGCGAGACCTGGCCCATTCGCAAAGATGACTTGCGCAGGCTATCCGTCTTCGAGCACCGCTGTCTGCGGTCCATTGCCCGTGTGTGGTGGCAGCACCACGTAAGCAATGTGGAAGTTAGACAGCGTGTCTTGGGACGTGGAAGCCACTCGCTCGAGGAGCTCATCTCACTGCATCAACTGCGGTGGTTGGGACACGTATTGCGCATGCCTGTCCAGCGTTACCCCCGTCGTGCGTTGTTTGCACTTGCTGGACAGGGCTGGAAGAGACGGTCTGGTGGACAGCCTACAACATGGAGAAGCCGCATGAAAAAGTTGACGAAACAGCTGGCCTCGGCCGGTTGTTGTCGACTACCTGGTTGGGGTCCGAGAGATGAGGATACTTGCTGGTTGAAGACCTTGGAAGTTATGGCTCAAGATCGATGTCAATGGCGGACGTGTGCATCGGTTTGTTGCGGTGTCCCTTCTTCCTCCCCCTAAAAAAAGAACAAACTGAAAAAAATTTCAAAAACTGTGAGTGGTAAAATAGACAAAAAAGTATTTGTTGTTGCTCTTTTCTTATTATTCATATTGTTTTCCTATTCAGCCATGATTCCGATGGCACAATATCTGTACCACAGATTGTGTATTATATATATATATATATATATATATATATATATATATATATATATATATATGGTGCGCTGAGGCTGGTGGTGGCTAGATCCTGACAGATGGTCTACCCACTGCTGCTACTGCTGCGCCATAGTCTCATGTCCTGGGCGCCTCCACGTGGCGACCGCTGGGTGGGAGTTGGGTTTCGCCCTTCTCCATGCTAAGATCCAGGACACCAATCCGCATGAGTCGGCTAACTGACCATGTGCTAGACTCGCTGCCTTTCGGGTGTTCATTTAATCGAAGGCTTTGGCTGAGGACCCGAGTCGTTCTCCTGTCAGGATTGGGCGCCCTGGCAGTATCCTAGTCCATCCTCTCCGGAGGTTAGGAAGTGGTTGATGGCCCACTTCCCGTAAAACCTAGCCATGGGAGACAACAGGTTTACGGGTTATATTCTCAAAGCTCGATTGGCGTAGAGCACGAGGGCCACGCATTGTCTCTGACGGTGGTAGGACACCTCCGGGTGTTCAATGGTTTGCTACTGCCCACTTCAAGCCAGGCAGCCCCTGGTCAAATTGGTGCAAACCCGCCAAAAACCCACCTGCGTCTGGCCGTGGTCGCAGGTGCGTATCCAATTACGGTCGCAAAACATATGATAATTGTTCCAGAACCTCAAAGGCTGCGTGTGACGGCCGTCAAGCAGATCCCAATCTGTCTCTGCAATCACATTCCCGAGCTGGATCTGCTCTCCACTGCCTTGTGCGTCAGGCTATTGAGCCAAAGGCTCCGGGTGGAGTCCCTCAAGCAAACCTCCGAATCACCCACTGCCTTGTGGGTCAGGCTATTGAGCCAAAGGCTCCGGGTGGAGTCCCTCAAGCAAACCTCCAAACCACCCACTGCCTTGTGGGTCAGGCTATTGAGCCAAAGGCTCCGGGTGGAGTCTCTCAAGCAAACCTCCGAAGCACGACCAACTCGCGTGCGATTGCCCACCAATGCAATCGTATGCCTGCGCGCAAAGCACTCAGCATCGGGTGCTGGAACGTGCGCACACTACTGAACCGGAACTCCAGCGAGCGCCCGGAGCGACGCACTGCACTGGTCGCGATGGAGCTGGCGCGCTACCACATCGATATTGCGGCGCTCAGTGAAACTCGGCTAGCTGAGCAAGGTAAGTTACATGAAGCAGGTGCTGGCTACACATTCTATTGGGTGGGGAACACCGCCTCAGCACCACGTGAACATGGGGTCGGATTTGCAATATCCGATCGCCTCCATGGCCAGCTGGTGGGTGAACCAACGGGCATCAGCGCGCGACTGATGACTGTTCGCCTACGACTCGGAAGAGGTAAGTTTGCTACTTTTATAAGCACGTACGGTCCGACCATGTGTTATCCTGATGACACGCGTGATCAGTTATACACTGAGCTATCCTCCGTGATACGGTCTGTGCCGAGGAGCGACCGACTATTTCTGCTGGGTGATTTCAACGCGCGCGTTGGGCGTGATGCATCAGCGTGGACAGATGTTATCGGTGCGCATGGCATTGGTCCAGCGGATGCGAACGGTGACAGGCTGCTCTCACTGTGTGCCACTCACGGCCTGACGATCACGAACACTCGGTTTGCACTGAGTGCGAGTGATATAGCAACTTGGACGCACCCACGGAGTGGTCACGCTCACCTGCTCGACTATGTCATCGTACGTCAGCGTGATATGCGTGAAGTGCGCATGACACGTGTACTGCGTGGAGCTGAGTGTGGCACTGATCACAAATTGGTGCGGACCAAACTGTACATATATTTTCGTAAATCTATGTATTGCACTCCCGCCGTGAATCGGCGTAAATTTAACATTCTCTCCCTCGGTACTGTGGCGAAACGTACTGAGCTGGAGAAGGCGATGGCTGCACGCCTGTGTGGTGATGTGGACTGCATAGCCACAGTGGGCGACCTGTGGCACCACATTCGAGACCAGGTGACAGATGCTGCCGAGGAGACCATCGGGCGCGCAAACTGTAAACGGCCTGATTGGTTTGATGACAACAATGCGACGATTGGCGCATTGGTGTCGGAGAAGAATGCAGCATTTGTTGCACATGTTGCAGACCCCAGTGACTTGGGGAAGAAGAGTCAGTTTCGCAAACTTCGACGGCGACTGACCCGAGAGCTCAGTCGCATTAAAAATGCATGGTGGACGGAGAAGGCGAAGCAGATGGAATGCTACGCCGAACGCCGTCAACACAAGGAATTCTTTGACTCCTTGAAGGCGCTGTATGGACCGAGATTGGAGCCGCTGAGGACAATGATCGATGGTAGTTCAGGCGCTACCTGCACCCAGACTGCAGACATAATGCAGGTCTGGCGGAAACACTTCGACTGTCTCTTGAACAACCGTTCAGAGATCGACTGGCCTACATTGAACGGTCTGAAGCAGCACGATGTGAAGGCGCGTCTGGCTGACACGCCGACACTGGATGAGACGCAGAGAGCACTTGCTCAGCTGCGAAACGGCAAGTGTGCCGGAGCCGACGGGATCCCGCCCGAAGTATTGAAACACGGTGGACCCGCGTTGTTGACTGCGCTGCACCACTTGGTGCAACGCGTGTGGATTGAGGAGGAAGTGCCTCCTGAGCTGAAGGATGCCCTTGTGCTACCACTGTACAAGGGCAAAGGGAGCAAGTAATGTTGCACAAATTATCGTGGCATCAACTTGCTGAGTTGTGTGGGCAAGGTGATTGCCCGAATCCTGCTCAATCGCCTCGTGAGTCAGGTTGTGGAACCTAACGTGGCGGAAGAGCAGTGTGAATTCCGTTCGGGTCGCAGCACTATAGATATGGTGTTTGCGGCTCGTCAGTTGCAAGAGAAGTGCAGAGAACGACACCAGCCATTGTACTCGCTTTTTGTTGATTTCACCAAGGCATTCGATACGGTGAACCGCGAGGCATTGTAGCTGGTGTTGGGTAAGTTTGGTTGCCCGCGTAAGTTTGTAAGTTTAATTGGATGTCTGCACAGTGGTATGCGAGCGAGGGTGCAGCTGAGTGGAGACCTCGGATGACTTTGCAGTTGTCTTTGGTGTGAAGCAAGGCTGTGTCTTAGCTCCTGCCCTGTTTAATATCTATCTTCATGCAATGTTGTCTTGTGCTTTTGATGCCGCTTGTGCTTACGATGTTCGTGTGGAGCACCGTATTGATGGTGGGTTGATGAACATCCGTCGTTTCGGTGCGAGAACTCTAGTCTGTGAGACAACTATCCGTATGTTGCTGTTTGCTGACGATTGTGCGTTGTTTTCACACAGCGCGGATGAGTTGCAGCACATGACTAGTGCTCTGGCTTCGACAGCGGCTAAATTCGGGCTCACCATCAACACAAGCAAAACTGTCTGTCTCTTTCAGCCTTCACCAGAGGTGCAATCTTCAATATCGCCGCAAATCAGCATTGGTGCTGAAGTATTGGAAACCACCTCCCGCTTTTGCTACCTTGGGAGTGTGATATCGACTGATCAGCAGCTACACGTTGAGTTGCGTATTCGCGTGTCGAAGGCGGCAGCGGCATTCGGGAAGCTTGAGTACCGAGTGTGGAACAACCATCACCTCACCATTGGCATAAAGCTGATGGTGTACAAATCCATGGTACTGTCCGTTCTTCTATACGGCAGTGAAACGTGGACGATGTACCGGCGAGATGTACGATATCTCGAGCGGTTCCATCAGCAGTGTCTGCGACGAATTTTGCGGATCGGTTGGGGCGCCAGAGTCGCAGACACGGAAGTGTTGCGCCGAAGTGGGATGTATGCAGTGGACGGCATACTTTTACTGCGACACCTGAGATGGCTCGGTTATGTGAGCCATATGGATTCGGCGCGGATACCGAAACAACTTTTATACGGTCAGCTGAGTATTGGGAAGCGGCATGCTGGGAAACCCAAGTTACGTTACCAGGACATGATTAAAGTGAGCCTCACACGTTCTAATCTTGATTGCAGATCATGGGAATCGAAGGCGGTTGATCGGCGTGCATGGCGCGATCTAATCACGAAGGCAGTTGCTGAAGTGCGGGAGAAAGCCCTCATGCATGCAGAGAAGAAGCGGCAGTTGCGGAAGAGGGCTAAGCACCGATGAATTGTACTCCATTGACATCGAGCGCACGATGCTGTAGAACATGCGGTCGCGAGTGCCTTAGTCAGGCAGGCATAGTGAGCCATGAGAGAGGTCACTCGGGACCACTGCCGAAGCGCCGACGGGTCCCGCAGTGAACGTAGGCAGCACCGGCGCAGCGTTTGTAGGCACGCTGAATTCGATTTACTAACCGCATGCTTGCATGCTAAGTCTCTTTATTTCAGGTGGTGGGTTTTCGGTTCTCTCCTTATGCCTATCTTTCTCATATAAATGTCTAGCGGGCCATGAGCTATGCCATTAAGAGGCCACTACAGAAGCGACGACGGGTTCTACAGAGAATTACGGCGAGCCGGTACAGCGTTTGTAGGCACGCTGAATTCGATTTACTAACCGCGTGCTTGCATGCTAAGTCTCTTTATTTCAGGCGGTGGGTTTACAGTTTTTACCTTAATGTTTTCTTTCTCATATAAATATTTCCCTGTACTCTATTCCATTAACTTGCACACATCGCCTAAGCCAATTGCACTCGATTTCCATAACATTTTTGCGTTCGTGGCATTCCGTGAACTATACTTTCTGACCTCGTGCACTTAGCTAGGATTTGTTTGTAATCAACTTATTACATATGCTATTTAATTAAGGTTTATATCACTGTTTCCTTATGCATTCATCGAGTTTTTCTCTTTTTCTTTCCCTCTCTCTCTCTCTCTCAAGTGTTTGGCTGTTGTTTGATATCCCAGGTGTGGCTGCGCTTGATGTGCATGTTGACAAGGTGCCTACCTGTCTATCACCCACTACCTCGTCCATACTGGCTCCAGGAGACAGTTGGTCGTTGCTGGAGGGGACAGGGTGCACGGTCCTTGTGGCCGTGTTAGGATCAAAGAGTGGTTCCATGCAGTCAGTGTGGAGCGGACTACGGTCCAGCCACCGCCTTGTATGCGCTTGATTCCCAAATACAGTGTGCTTGTGTTTGCCTGTGAAGGAGTGTGGGCCGGCTCTGTTGATGAAACGTGGTTCCCATCCGCATGCCTCCCGGTCTTATTCCTTCGGGTTTACACTGGATATGGGGTGTGTGGATGGAGCTGTGGGTGGTGCAGCGCAAGCCATATATGGTCCCTCTGTAGGCGCAGGCGTCCTGTGGCTTGCCACAGTGACAGGGGAATCCGAAACCGGGTGCCGCCATCCATGAATGTGTGCCTCATGCTGTGGCTGATGTTGCATTCTTGATGCTTCTACACCGCAGTTGGGCTAAACCAACTTGCACCTAAACTAGGTCTTTTTAAGCTGGCTAAATTTCATTCCACTTTATTTGGTTTGTTCCGCCTACCTGAATACTCTTCTATTAACTGGCCACGTTGCTTACATTAATTGCGCTTATCTTCGGTAACTCCGTTGCGTTTTGTCGTATTTTTAACTAACTTGTGGACATTTTTTCTTTATCGCGGGTTTGTTGCTAACCAACTTACTTCACATGCTTATTTAGCTTAGAGTTATGCCACGGTATCTGTATGCATGATTGTATTTGTTTTAATTCATCTTGTCGTTCCAGGGGATTGGCTGTTGTTTGACATCCCAGGTGTGGCTGCGCTTGATGTGTATGTTGACAAGGTGCCTACCTGTCTATTACCCACTACCTCGTCCATACTGGCTCCAGGAGACAGTTGGTCGTTGCTGGAGGGGTCGGGGTGCACAGTCCTTGTGGTCGTGCTAGGCTCGAAGAGTGGTTCCATGCCACTCAGTGTGGAGCGGACTACGGTCCAGTCACCGCCTTATGTGCACTTGATTCCCCAAATACAGCGTGTTTGTGTTTGTCTGTGAAGGAGTGTGGGCCGGCTCCGTTGATGAAACGTGGCTCCCATCCGCATGCCTCCCGATCTTATTCCTTCGGGTTTACACTGGATATGGGGTGTGTGGATGGAGCTGTGGGTGGTGCAGCGCAAGCCACCCATGGTCCCTCTGTAGGCGCAGGCGTCCTGTGGCTGACCACAGTGACAGGCAAATCCGAAACCGGATGCCGCCAAAAATATATATATTGGGCTATCACCAATAGCCCCAACAAAGGTATGTAACAATGCGATGCGGCAACAATCCAATGGACGTAGTGAATACATAAAAAATGAACATTCGTACGCGGTCAGCTAGTCTTCAGACGAGGGTACCGCAATAATATGCAAACCGGACACCAGGAAGGGTCACTGGTAAGCGAGGCGATGTCACCTGCCAGGATTAAGTTGGGCAGCAAATAAAGATTAGTCATGCGAACGAATTATGACTAATACTGTGCAAACCTGAGGCGAAGAAGCATTACAGATTATAGTCTGAGATGCTGATCGATACTTTCAAGTCGCTTGGTTCAACTGAAATTCAAAAAGTACCAAGTCCAAATAAGGAGCTGCGCAGAATTCACAAGGCTACAGGTAAACTAGAGGATATGCATTTCAGAAGGCAGTGTTGGGACCAAGCGACATCGAAACCCCTACACGGTCCAAGTGAAAGGAATGACCGAGATCTATTTCAAGGTAAAATGAGTTTCTAATGGAGACTGTATATCGCAACCTAACCATACGGTGTGCTCAAAAGAACAACTACATTTCAAAAGGTTTCGCGAGCAACCGGTTATTGTACTTCCTGGGCGATATAGCTTTTCAAACAGGCTTCTTCCGACTAAATAAACTAGCTTAAAATTAAATAACATTTTAAGAAAGTGGTGGGTAAAATGTGGAACAAAAAGTTGTCCGTCGGAGGACAATAACAGGTGTGTGTCGGAGTATCTTAATTTTTTATATAAGTAACCAATGATTGGTGCAGGAGACGGTGTGGTGGATAAATAAAAATGCTAAAGTACCTTGTGAGTGAGTGGATGTTGCGTTGCGATGATCCGAGAAGCCGACCGAGAGTGAACCAAAAGTGATTCAAATCCTCATAGGCAGAGGAAGGCACATTTGGAAACGTAGGGCTAGATAATGTGTTCTTACTGCGTAGCAGAAGTGGTAGATGCGATTCCGGAAGAGGATGGTCCTCCATCTGAGTCAATACATAGGAAAAACGGCACAACGGATTAACCGCACCCAGATGATTAGGATAAAAACATACAGCAAAAGTAAAAATACAAAATTTGCGGCTGTTTACTGCAGACGGATTCAGTCAGCAGGCTAACAAATACTCCGGAATGTCCTAGAGGAGAGTTTATTTCTATGTGAATTCGCTACCAGCGTGTATCTTTCACGAATCCTATTGGATTCGAAACTACCACCATTCTAACTGAGTAATCGGTGGCAGTGATCCACCGTGGCTGATTAGAAGGTGTAGTACAGAGCTATCCATCCTCCAATGTCATTCGCATGGTTATCGTGCAGATTAACATGGCTACTTGGTTGATGACATTACATGGTGGCAAGAGAGTAACAGAAAATTTGAGGAATTTTGAAGAGGCACGTAGATCGGTAATATTTTTCAACTGAGTACGTAGGCGAATATCTAATTCATTGACAAAATACCCCGGAAGTGCTCGTAGCGAGAAGTCTAAACAGAGTACCGACTGACAAGAATGTATAAGACGCTTATGTGTATTTGCAAGTGTGCGATGGAAAAGAAATCGGCAACCAGGCGGGTAGGGACAAGGAATTACTCTCAAGTCCGAGTCAATGGTAGGCAAGAAAGGTCGAATATCTATAGCTGTCCACGCAATTTCAGTGGGACGAACGCGAACTCCCAAATGCAGCTGATTTCAAAGACAGGATTGAAGCGAAATCTCGGGGCAAATCAGCTACTTAGACCGCACAAGTAATGTGAAAATCAACGCGTATTAATAGCGCGACGCGAATAGGAGAATTAGGCAAGTAGCAGAAAACACTGTTTTGCAACCAAACCAACGAATAAGGTAAGTGTCCGTTGGGTGACAGTGAAATCATCCTGAAAGGGCTTAGGCTGGACATTGATGCAAACTGTATTCCAACCGAAGGACTCTTGGGTTGCATTTTAGTCATGAAGGCGGTGTTCACTGTCCATCAGTCTGTCGTTTAGATTGACTTGAATACGGAGATAGCACAGGACTGTTAGCTACAGTCTACCGTTGACTTACAACTGTTCATGGCGTCATTCAGTAAGCCACAATTATCTACAATTAAGTCAAAATGAGTCTCAGTTGGCTTTATCTTTTCAGGCTGGAGCAACATTGGCAGAAGCAACTTTTCATGGGGAAACGAGGTCTGCAGTAAGGAGCACATCGCTGGTAACACCCCGACGTTGGCAGTCGATCGTACTTAAAGGCCATGTTAAATGGCCCTATCTGTAGACATGTACGAGTACTGATTGGTTGGACTAAATGAACACTGGTTTCCTTCACATCGCGGATTGTGTACATAATCCAGCGCCGAATCCTTCCGCTGTAAAAAGACTCAGAGAGGTGGTTCGGTGTTGCTACTCACACACCCAAATTTTAAATCTGCGACTATCCGAAAACACATCGGATGAAATACCGGGATCCCCATACATTAGCACCACTGTCTGAGTTAAGTTCTCCGCATATCTGGGTGCCAGCTTCTTCGGTGTGTATCACCAGGAAAAGCTGCGTGTTGTGTGAGATCCAGAATTAACAAGTTAATAAGAACATGAAGAAACTCACTGAAAATCTGAGTAAGGTTTGTGACTGTTGTCTTCTCGGATGGGAGTCAGTCAGTCAGCGCAAACACGTTAGTCGAGGATGAGAAAACACCTCAGTTTATGTGCCACAATACAAAAAGTATAAGAGAGTAAACATTACAGATTATAAAAGTGAAAAAGTAGCATAATGCTAAAAGCATATTATGCAGTTTGAGCTCGTTGTTGGAGGGGAAAGTTACAAGGGAGAGGAGAGACCAAGTGCCTGACAATACAAACGCTATTGAGATCGGTTCCTCGATATGCCAGCTAGTGTACCAAGCCAAACGGGTTCATCGTCCTTGGGACTCGAGTCAGGTGGTTGGGAAACACCAACCGACACCAAATTTGAAAAGAGGTATTTCATACCTCTAGACCAAGTCATCGTTTGGCCTCCCCTCATCTTCCTCCATCCAGATGCCAGGCGCGCAAACAACGCAGGTCGTGGTAGTCGGTGGACAGGCATGCGCAACTAAGTTTTGTGCTGCGCGGTTCACTCACTCTTACTGCACCAAATACGCAACGACGAACACGCTCATTGCTCACGCGGTGTTCCCACCTGCATGAGCTAAGCTGTGAAGGCAGCGATGGTCGAACGTGATTGCCTCTTTATATCGGCTGATCTATTGGGCCAGGTTTCGCCACCGTACAGGATTGTTGAACGAACAGCTGCATTGTAGACTCAATCCTTCAGAGCAATAGTGATGTCATGCCGGCGCCACAGATGGCGGAGATTGACAAAAGCATCCCGTGCTTTTGCTATACGGTTCGCGAACTTATCTTCAATAACGCGGGAGCTAACGTAGCTGCCCAGGTGCTTAAATTCCTGAACGACTTCTAGCTGATCACTGCCAAGAGTCAACGCGAAGGAACGGGATCCTGCCGAATTTAAGGAAGGGCTTTACATTTAGACGGTGTAAAGCATCGATCGAAACGACTAAAATCCAGAAATAATTTATCTAATGCAGATTGACGGGATTGTGAGCTGTCACAGATGAACGCAATTTCATCGGCATAATCCGTGCCAATAAGTCGGTTACTAGGGAGCAGCTCCACATATTATAATTCGTGTTCCCGAACGCCGTTTCCATGACTTCGTCGAAAGCGAAGTTAAAGAGGAAAGGTGACAGAGAGCAACCCTGTTTCACACCGCTGGATCTAGTGAAGGTCGGAGATGCCTTCCTATAAACACTCATTCGGCCCGAACTATGCGCGTACATCGCTCTAATGATATTTCCATATTCCTCGGGAACACATTTCCTAAACAGACTGTCGCAAAGCGCACATCGAGCAATGCAATAGAAAACCCTGTTAATGTTTAGGAAAGCGACTCCTGTGGGTCGCCAATAAAAATGGCGCTGCGCAAAACCTGACTTAATGTGAAGATGTGGTTGATGCAGCCTCCGTTTCGTCGAAACCCAGGCTGATCTTAGCGCATCTGTCCTTCACAACTTAACGTAAATCTATAGAGGACGACAGGCGCAAGCAATTGAGAGCAGACTGGATGCTCTATGAATGCTACAATCAGAAGGAGAGCCTACCTTGGAAATTGCGACTAAAACTAAGGTTCCATGAAGTACCATGAAGTGCATCTGCTCCAGCCGCCTTGTTCAATTGCAGCCGTCTGGTTCCACGTTCGATTTCCGTGGGTGAAAGCAGATCCCGGGTGACAGCACGGGGGTAGAGCGATCATTGGCCGATGGAGAAGCTGGAAACTCTGAATGATTGAACTGCTTTTCACAATATTCGGCCCAATGCTCCAAGCGCTTTGACAAGCTATGGGTCCGTTGGCAAATCTCGTCGCATACAGTCTCGCAAACAACATATCTTCTGCTGCCCGTTTCTCGTATCAGACGGAATAACCTCCGGTGGTTACAAAGTGAAGCGGCTGTCTCCGATGCACGATGAGACCAACAGGCTTCGTCGTCTCTCTTCAGGCTAGCAAGCAGTTTTGCCCAGAGATGTCAGCGAATTTCATTTCACTTCCAGCCGGAAGACATCGGCTAGTATTCAGAAATTCCGGAGAGTGCGTAGAGACCCAATGTCCGGGTTGGCGATTTAATTTGCCATATGGAGACCTGCCTGCTGCTAATAACGTCTGGCGGATATGCGATCAGTGATCATCAACCTTGTTCAATGAGCGCTTACTCAGCTCGGATGCCAGCGCACGTTGATACGCATGCAGAACGTCCGACTTCGCCATCTGGCTGGTGTCAATGCGCTCATAGCGACGTTGCGGACGTCCGTCGAAAAGCACCCGGAGGTCAAGGCAAACAAGTGCGTGGTCAGTGTCCACGCTGGTGCTTCAGATCGAGCGACAGTTATGAACACAGCCTCTCCAGCGATAACTGATCGCATTTGATCGATTTGCTACCACGGTTGGTGGGCGCCATGTCACCCTCAGGCAGGGGCTGTGTCGGAAGTAAGCGCTCGCGAGAAAGAGACGATCATCTTCACACAGGAGTAGCAAGTGCTCACCGTTATCATTACGGGAGACTACACCGTGTTGGCCGCCCAGATGAAGCCCATCAGAAGACAGCTTTCCAATTTGGGCATTCAAATCAACAGCTAGTTCCACAGTATCCGTGCTTTTCCTGTAACACAACAGCGCGTTCAGTTGGTGATAGAATTTCCTTCCCCGAGTCAGAGCTACAAATTGTGGGCGCATAGACCACAAAGACAAGCAAGCGCCGTTTGTTCCCACGCAACTTCGAGACTCTGAACGAGCCAGCCAATCTGACAGCGCACATCCGGCTGCCCATTGGGATCCAATCGACCAGGGCAGATTAAGTCCAAGGACTAAGAGCAATGCCCATACCGGCTTGGCCGGCATTTGAAGATGCGTCATCTCCGGACAAGCGCAATGAGAAAATACAGCCAATGTCCAGCCTTCAACTATTGAAAGGCGGACTGCAATGACCTCAATTAAGCAGCGAGTCAGATGGACTGGTCGTTACCAGAGGATTCGTCTGTTGAAACCTGTTGGACTATCAATAAAGAGAGATTGAAATATTTGTGCACCCGATTTGACCTCCTCAAGCCAGCCAGCCACATTGGTTCGACAAGGAGTACAGCAAACTGGCCCGACGACGACGCAGACTGTCATACTAATTCGTGTTATCTTGCTCTGACGAGGATTACAAGGTGTATAAAGTGCAGCGAAATCTGCAAAAAGCAAGAACAAAAGGCGCAGAATCTTTGAAGAGCAGTTTGCACCAGTCACAAAAGCTGCTTCCAAGAGTATATTAGCCTACGTGAGGCGGTGTCTGAGGCCCGCAGGCAATGTGCCAGTGCTGGAAGTCTCAGATGGACAGCCCCTAACTTCAAACACAGATCGTGCGTCCGCATTGGCGGCGCACTTCGCTTCCATACTTGCATCTGACCAGGTGTCCATCGAGTTCGACGGGTACTGCCCCACTGAACTTGGCAGCCTAGGTTGCAGCATCGAAGATGTGCACAAGCTGCCAGCAAATCTTGACGGGACAAAGCCTGCGAAGCCATATGGAATCCACCCACTGATCCTCAAGTCCGCATTGGCCATCATCGCGCGTTCTGTAACTGAGCTGTTCAACTGGTCACTATCCATTGGTTTATTACCGGGAGATTGGAAAAACTCAGTCGTAAATCCAATACCGAAAGGTGATGACCCAAGCAAAGTGGATAACTACCGGCCGATCTGCATGATCGCTGTTTTGGCAAAGACGCTTAAGAAGATAGTGAAGAAGGGCCTTGTGCATCTTTTTGAACCGAAAAGCCTCTTGACGCCCGCGTGATTTCGCGAAAGGTCACTCGTGCATCACCAACCAATTGTTGACGAGACACGATTGGTTGCAAGCGCTGAACCAAGGCTGGTCGGTTGACATCATTTACATTGAGTTTGAAAAGGTGAATCATGCAGTGCTCCTCGACAAGCTGAGAGCAAGCGGTGTTGGCGGCTCGCTGCACCGATAGATCGGAAATTTCCTTGTTGATCGAAAGTGGAGGGTCCAGGTCAACAACCATTTGACCGACTGGTATACATCGAGCAGTGGCGTGCCACAAGGCACTGTACTGGAGCCCATTTTGATCCTGAGCCAGGTAAACGATGTACCTCAGCATCTCCATTCTCCTTGTGTGCTGTTCGCAGATGACTTGAAGGTGTGGAGAGTAATCCGCACACCCTATGATTGTGACCTGCTTCAGCAAGCTTCGACCGCCTCTTCACCTGGCCTGCAGAGGTCAACCTTCCGATCAACCCGGTCAAGTTGCAATTCATGAGGCTGGGTACGTGTGAGCACAGTCGAACCTACACGGTGGCGGGTCAACCGTTGCATCCCGCGCCTTTCGTGCGAGACCACGGTGTACTCTCACGCTACGACCGAACACGAATAGGTTTTACCGAAACAGTCTTCGTATGCTTTGGGCGCACAGGCGCAGCTTGAGCACTTGGTCCTAAGAGATTGCCACTCGCCGCTTCGTCTCAATAATATGACCAATGCTAATGGCTCTCCCGCGTATAGTCCTATCACCCGGGGCGAGGCATAAAAGATGGAGCGAGTGCAGCATGTGACCACCAGGCTGATTACCAAGTTACGAGGAGTGCCGTACGAAGACCGATGTAAGAAACTAGGGCTTTACACCCTAGCTTATTGCCGACTGCGGGTTGACCTCATCATGAGGTACCGGATATTACATCTGGGAGATATGTTGAGGCCGCTGCCTCATGTGCGCACACCAAGCGGCACACGAGGACACCGTTACAAGCTTGTCGTAGAGGATTTGAAGCTGGTCGCCCACTAACTCTGTTTCGAACGGAGAGTGGTGAATGCATGGAACAACCTGCCGCAGCACGGAGTTGAGGCAAAGTAGGTGTCGGGATCTAAAAATTCCTGGACAAACACTTTGCCGATAAACAATATATCGAGCGCAGGCAAAGATAAAGGGTCCTTGTACCTGAGTGATATTAGATACAGTTACACAGATATCTCTTTTTGCTACTTTCAACCGGTTATCAATAATCCGTAATCAGTTGGGGATCGCAGGGTGACTACAGAACTCGAATACCGCAGGCGAGTTTCTGACAAGCAGCAGATATCGATTGATAGGGTCTCCAGTGTACAGGCAATTGCTGCCTGTTGGCCAATTTGCAACAAAGTGCGCAGGCTAAGGGATGCCAGTCCTAGCGTCGATCGAGGGCTCCAAAAAGAAGCAGATGAACTGACGTTGTCCGTTTGGCTGGACATAGACTTGTCGACGCCCTGCGATTGCGTGTGAGTCAAAACTAGAAGATAAACGATTACTGAACCAAGATGGGGGAGGGCCAGGAATTGGGGGGCTGAAAACAGGGGGATAAAAGTGGTTGGAACAGGGACAATAAGGATGAAAAGGAGCAAGAGGGGGAATAAGATGACAGAAGGCCTGAGCAGCAACATACAAACCGCTAATCACCCCGCTCGATGCAGCAGATAGGGCGCCGTTTAGTATCCTCTGCGACGGCCAGAGCATCAAGGAATTGATTGAAGAAAGATTCTTTGTATTGCGTGGGCAGAATACTGTCAGATTGCCCAGGCGTATGAAGTTTCACAGATTGGAGCTTCGAGATTGACCACATCAGTTGATGGATACATTAACGGATTTAGTGCAGTCATGAAAACAATGATACTATTGTATGTGTTTTCAAATGAATCAAGGCCAGAAAACAGTTCAGGGTTAAGACATCTTTTCGGTAAAATCTCGTCAGACCCAAACTTTTACATGACACGGATTATGTGGGGTAAGCGTCAAATCGGGCTGGGATTGATTTCTTAGGTGTTTGAAAGGTCAAGATCGATGACTAAAGGTGGCTACAGATGGTAGGAAAAGTGCATCAAAGGAAATTAATACAGGCTTCAGGGCCTAAAGTAAATAGCTAAGGTTACAAAGGGTAGTTAAGTAACCATGTCAGTCGGCCAAGGTAGTAGTATCGGCCGTATGAATCGTTTGTGTACGCATAATTCCGGCTTCAGATGATGGATGTAAATAGCCTCGGCGATAGACAAGATTTGCTTTCGGAAGCCTTGTGATAAGCGTTCAGGTAGTGAATAGATGACTTTAAAGTCATTCTCCGATGCAGTATGGCCACTTTCGAGGAGGTGTGACATGATTGAGCTGTCTGAGGCCCTCATTTCGCCCTTGTAAAACCACGCCGGGATGTGCTCGCGAATCCTCTGGGATAGACGTCTCGTGCGACCCACGTATCGTGCACCACAAGAGCACGAGTACTGATAAACGAGCATGCTAACTCTTAACTATTACATCTGGCGAATATGGTCACCACAAAATGTTGTTATGATCATTATTTCTGCAGCGTATACCAATGGGACTAGATCCACCGCAACAGTTAACAGGCTAAACCGGACTGTACGCCGTTTATAGTGCCGAAGTGGTCATAACTTAAGACCCAATGAAAAGAACACCAGTCAAAGGTTACAAAGAGTATAAAGATCTATCAGCAGTTGTTCAATGACAGGCTAGTTTGTGGTAACGCAAGTCAGTAACCGAACAAAGAACGAAACGGCCTGAGTAATCCAACTCCAGGGACGACGCGGTTATTGACCAATGTAGCTGCGGAAATCCCTCCGGACAAAAACCGAATACGTGAACCTAACCGAGTACTACAATATGCAACTGTCCGTGATGGAGAAATGATACCGATATCCGAATCGTAAACGAAAACCGGAAGTTACAAAATACACTACACAGTGCTATGCACCAAAAAGTAAACTGGGGCGGTGATGAATCATTCACACCTAAAGTGCGTACAGCGGGTAGTATATGAAAAGCTTCCGAACGAGCCAGAAAAACGTTATCTTCCATCAAAAAGTTAAACAGCAAAATAGGTGAGCGCTACGGAATGTGGTAAAGAGATTCACTTACAGCAAGTCTGTGTAGGTGCGGAACATTGGACGAGTGCATTGCAGGTAGTAGAGCTGAATTCGGGTATGTGCTTACTTGGGCTTCGATTGTCTCCATTTCATAGACAGATTCGACGGTGAGTCGAACACACGATGGAATTGCGGGTATTCGCTCAGCCCAAAAGGTGAATGGCGATTCTGATTCGTTAAACTTGTCACACGTCGGCTTTTCTATCGACGCTTTGCGCTGAGTAGCACCGCGAGTGGCATACCCTAGCACGGCAGAGTACAGGGCATGGTGACTTGGCTGTGTAATCCATGGGGCGGACAGTAGATCCTTGCACAACTAAATCATTGGGAAATGAGGGGGGGGGGTTAAAAAAGCAGCATGATTTAAGAGGAACAAACGCCGACATAAGTTCAGCCCATCCTAGGAAAAACCTTAAAGCATGATACAACGAGAAGGCGCCAGCCATTTATTCTAATCGCCACATTGCGCGTGTTCTGGACGGTTTGTACTACACTCCCATAGGAGACAGTTGTGGTGTAAAGGCTGTCCGTGACCGGGAGACGTCATGCTGAGCAGGTGATCCAAACTCGGGAAACGTCTGGCAAGAAGAAATATGGTGTAGGTTTGTCTGAGCCAACAGTTATGTGATCGGACTGAGACACGCCATCGCCATCTCGAACGCGACTTGGTTTGAAGTGAGGCTTGATCAGTTCGATCACCGTGAAACACTATACTTCAATAGTTATCCGTAACAATGTCGGTCGGTGGCCAAGTGGTCTGTGCGTCTGGTTTGCAACCATAAGGTCATCGGTTCGAATCCGCGTAGGGGTGAGCGTCCTCCTGGTATACTCAGCCGACGAGCGACTGCTGGTGGTCGTGTGGCAGCGAAACAACGCTACGGAGTACGGCTAGCGATTTTCTTTAACAATCCCTAAAAATGACTCAGTGGCAGGGATCGAGCCCAAAAAGAAACTGATTTGTATTGAGCTGTTTATTCAAAAATGACCACACGCAAGCTACCGCGAAACGGAAATTAGCGTAAAAAGCACCAGAACCATGTTTGTTCATGTCGACAAGACCCGTGGTTAGGCGTTTGTTTAAGATACCGAGGACAAGGCGGTGTATGTCACATTGCTTTTAGATTGGAAGCACCAACTGAAATGTAGGTGTCGGAACTGATTCCCAAGTGGTTACGCAGCCAAATAGGAGCTATGACGAAGGAATCGGGTGAAGCGAGACAAACTGCCGCCGCCACCACAAGGCATGTGTTGATCACCGACCACCAAGTGAACCCTGATGAGTCATACAACGTTCTGACGCGCAATCAGAAGCCCCACATCGTCAGGTTGTTGGAAATCATCCTCGCTGATCGATAACAGACACAACTTGGGGTGCAGAAAGAGCTGAGTCGACCATGGTAGTACCAAGCGCACTGATTTGTCACTGGTTGACAACCAAACGGCCCACTCTGCCTTTCTTTCCGTATTATATCGGTAGTTCAATAAGATCGAGGAATATCTACGACATGACTGAACTAGCTCACAATGTGCATCTTCGGACTTTCCTATTTAAAATAAATGCTAAGCGGTGACAGTCCGCAACACCATATAACACGACCGGTTTCGTGTTTGTCTGCACATGTCAGGTAGAGGTAGCAGAGAGGTTACTCGGAGGAGGAGCGCAGTTGCTGGATGAAGTCCTTACTTCTATGCCATGGAACCGCGAGTCAAGCTAGTCAAAAAGGGCAATGACTTATTATGTTCTAAATAAGACAATGAGAAGACTGGAATTACAATATGGAACCTTTTCGTGTTATCTGTTCACTCGCAGACTGACAACTTCAATATGAATCACGTGACAGAAAAAGCGAAAGTTTGGAACTGGTCACAAAGGGTAACAACGTAGATGCAAGAATAACAGCTCGACGAGCTTGACTTTAAGGTCATGAGCCCCAAGGAAGCTTTAGGGAGACTTAATTGTTTCTGTACACAAAGGATAGGGCGACACCGGTTAAGTGCAACAGTGTCGGCGAAACTCAAAACTTTGGGGTTTTCATTTCGATAGATAACTGTAAATGTTGACCCAGGGTCCACCTGATGGCCTGTTTCAATTCGATGTCTGGCGATAGATGATGCCGGATTGCTAAGCTATCGACACAATAAGCAGCCGAACAAGAAAAGGTATCTAAGCTACCGGCATTATCTATCGCCAGACATCTAATCGAAACAGGCCATAAGGTTGACCCTGGATCAACATTTACAGTTATCTATCGAAATGAAAACCTCAAAGTTTTGAGGTTCGTCGAACCTGTGGTATTTAACCGGCCTCGCCCTATCCTTTGTGTACAGAAACAATTAACAGCCCCCTTAAGCTTCCTTGGGGCTCATGACCCTAAGGTCAAGCTCGTTGATCTGTTAATCTTGCGTCTACGTTATTTCCATTTGTGACCAGTTTAAAACCTTCGCTTTTTCTGTCACGTGAATCATACTGAAGTTGTCAGTCTGCGAGTGAGCAGATAACACGAAATGGTGTCATTTCGCAATACCAATCTTCTCATTGTCTTATTTGAATGATAAAAGGAACTGTGCTTTAGACTTATTATGTGTTGATCTGGGGCATTCGTTGCGAAACTGGATTGCGAAACGCGATCCCAATTCGGACCACAAGTTAATCTAAGATGACGATCGGTCATTCTCATCACCCGGACCGCCTGCGAAAGGGGAATTTTGCGCGTAACACAACTTAGGACAATCGCGACGCAAAAAAACGTAATATGGTTAATAACCGTGCTTCGGTTGGAACAGCTGAATGAATGGAATGTAATGCGGTTAAAATTGAGATGGAAGTTAATTGACTTCCTAAATACTTCGCACAGCATCAATCCGAAATTAATGAGAAGGATCACTTTAGTCACGCACAATAGCTTGACAGGTTCTTATCCGAAGTATCTGGGAGTTAAAGCATACAATTCATATGACTTTTTCATCTGAAGTACTAATTCAGGCGCTGCGACTACGAATCAGCATGTCCAAAATTGGAAGAAAAAAGTCCGGACCTTTGGTTTAGCAACGGAATGAACTGAGAGCAATGAGGGGATAATATATATAAACAATTCAAATTGTATTCATACAGGCCGAGCCTAGACGGATCTCACTGGACTCACCAATAACAACGGTTCGCTGTGCAATACGTTGGAGTTTAGACAGTCTAGAGTAAAATCATAGGTTTCGATCTTTTCGTCGAGCAACTCAGCGAGCCATGCAATTGCCTGAGCAACGACCAGCTCGAAATTGACAAAATCTTTAGAGGATGACTCGTCAAGTGGTAGATTGAGATGTCCAGAGAGCCAGTCGTTGAGGAACCGAAGGCACAGACACAACGATGCAGTGAGGTAGTTCGCTGAAATCACTCTAACAGCTGGCTGGAACAACTGTCCAAACAGGGCCATGGTCGCTTGAAGTACGGCTTCCATCGCTCTCTGTTCGAAGGGAAGGGGGTAAAGTCTGCGGTTATGCATGATTTAACCAAAACATGGTACAAAGCGAAGCCATAAACTGAAATATGCTGCCTTCGAGGTATTCCTCGTACGAGTTATAGAATGTAAGTTGAGGTTAGTAACGGAGACCAAGAGACTCGTGAGCGGGGCAAACACTTCCTTGGCTTTGACATGTAACGAAAATACAAGCGGAAGGTTGTCAAAATGACACAAAGTCCCCATGACAGTTTTAGTAATGTGTTTTCTCAGTAGTAATGTCGATTCACTGTGTTTGTTTAAATGGACGTCATAAACATGCCTCCCAGTCTTATTCCTTCGGGTTTACACCGTATATGGGTGTGTGGGTGGAACTGTGGGTGGTGCAGCGCAAGCCACAAATGGTCCGTCTGTAGGCACAGGCGTCCTGTGGCTGTCACCGTGAAGACCACAGTGACAAGTGAATCCGGATAAGGATGCCACCAATTTACCTGTTAGTTAGTTGAATAGATAGTCATGTCCGTTAGGACGATGCGAGAGCGCGGAACGAATCGGTTGTAGCAGCACTGGATCCGATTGAGAACATCGTAAGATGGATTAGAAAGTTGAAGAGAATGACAACAGGTTCACATCGGTTTACATATGCTGAAGCACAACGATATCCAATTCGTTTGGGAAACGCTAGAAGTGTGCGTTCACTCGAACCATAAGGGATTCCAGATAGCGACCCAAATCGATAGTGCAGGCAAGAAGGTTAGCTGGCACCAGAAAGGGATTAACAAGTAACCGCGATATGGTATCCCTCAGTATCACGAGCTTTGTCACGGAATAAGTAACCATCTTTCAAATGACAGCATAGTGTAAGATAAAGAGCACCGCATTGAGGACATGTTATGTGATCGGCCACTTGTCAGAAGTTCCACTACAGAGAAAACCCGAATGAATGGAGTCACTAATGATCATTTCGATCACACAGTTGTAATGGTAAGGAGATATAAGACAAAGCTGACGAATCACACTTGTCGTGGGGAACTCATGAGACCATTACCGTAGACCATTACCCAGACTCGTGAGTCACGGTAGAGACTTCAGAATGGAAAAGGATTTAGCTGGCATGCCTTTCATAGATAGGAAGTGATACAAGATGACTCAATCAAAGCGGCTTTAAAGTCAAGGAAAACCACCATCGTCGGTCGTCTGTAAGTGGGGCTCTGTTTTAACACATGGCGGAGAATAATTATGTGGTCGGTGCAACCACGAACAAGGCGGAACCCAGCCTAGATTTCAATGATTCGGCTCTCGTGAGCAACAGTAAGCCGTCACAGAGTGATACGCGTAGAAAGTTTAGAGGCAATGAAAAGAAGACTAGTGCATACAAGGTAAGCTGACCATTTTGAAGACTGACACAGCAGTTCGCAGTCGCTAGTCTGAAGGCACCTTTTCAGTGCCCAAAGTCGTGTTGAATAATGCAGCAAATCCAGTCAACAAAGAGCCACCTCCATAGTACAGTAATGATGGAGGATAATTGTCGGGCCAGGGAGTCTTATTTCGTTTCAAAACGGAGAGCTCGTGTTGAACTTATTCCAAAGTGGGAGGTGTGATAACTTCCCACGTCGGCTCAGATAACGCAGCAAACAGCAGTGTCGCAATAAGACAGCTGAACGGTTATCCAAGATGTTCGGCCAAGCGCGCTAGTCGACGAGGCTGTGAATACATTTACGGTCTAGCATTGTCTCATTAAGTAATGGATTTCTCTGATGCGTGTTCCGAGTGAGATGGGATAGCACTCGGCAGATCCTAATAACACTAGTTTTCTCCATCTCATTGGTAGTGCTACATAACAACGTTCAATGTCCATTCGAAGACTCCTTATTATGCGTAGTTTCAGGGCGTTACGGAGAAGCAAAAAATCAGTACCCATTAGAACCTGTTACCATATTTCGGTCAAAATGATCGATGCATCGGGGATCCACTTACAGTGCAAGCGTCTCATTCTGGAACTAAATAAATTAATAAATTGTATATTTTTCTTTTGGCGAGACACGTGTAACGGCATGTTCAGGTAAATAAAGCATTTCTAGTTCAACGACCGAGAATGTACCAAAGTAATGAAAATCGTTCTTCAATTAAGGATATCAAAGTTGTCTGTTGTTTCAATGCGCTACCTGACATTGCACAGGATGGCCATGTCGGGCTTGGTAGATCTCTTGTGAATACTAACACCGCAATGTATAAAGCAGGTGTCGATTTCCTTTCAGCACATTTGATGACTGCATTGTTCATAGTTATATACTAGTATCGAATTCTGGTAGTGGCACTCACATGAAACCGGAGCAAGAGGAGCAGCTATAACAGAGAAGTAAGAGTAAACTGCAATAAAAGTAGTAGGAACACCGACAGTGAAGACGGGGAATGTGGAGTTGTGTTTGATTGACTTCCTCTCTCAGAACGTTTGTTGGTGACAACTTTGTTGTTCACATCGATAAGAAGGAAGAAAGAAGATAAAGACGGTGAGTAAAGGGGCCTCACCATTGCAGTATTCGTTCTCTGTTGTAGACTGGTTTCTGGATCATATAAATCCTGGACCCTGTTGGTATGCTTGGCTGATCGTTATGTAACATCCCAATAAATGGATCACATTTTGCACGGAGAAGTATCTGCTGATCCTTTTCTGAAATTCCTGCAATGAATTGCTAACACGGATATCGGTTGGCAATTTGTTCTAGATTCGTGCAGAATTGTTAAGGAGGAGTTAGTGGATTTGTTGGTCTTCGACCTGTATTCCCCTACCGAATCTTCCTTATTTTGTGTGTTGTACGATGACGACCATATTCTTGCCATGTTAAGATTGGAAACATGTATTTTCTTGTGCAGATTCTTAGAGAATATAATTAGGTTGTGCTTCATTCGCCTCAACCAGATGGGATGAAACTTGAGTTTCTCACATCGCTCGGAATATACTAATTTCGATGATGTCTAATAAGCGCTTTGTGAATGTCCGTTGTACATTTTCCAGTACAATGCGGTCTCGTTTGTTTGCGCTACTATACATAGACACCATCGAGCAGTATTCCAAAAGAGGACGTGAAAATGAGTGATAAGCGCAGAGTATAGATTTTTCTAAATAACATTCCAGTGCTTCATCTGGTCTTTGCAGTAATGTAGACTACTTGTTCGGAGAAGCTGAGCGAGCATATCTCAGTCCTAGGTCACGAACAGTATGGCATATATTAAATTGCTTAGCACAAATGGTCAAACTGTCGCATTTGTAAAACAGACCGTAACACATGTCGTAAGTAACATTGCGCACTTTCAGCACCAGGTTCCGAGCGCGTGGAGGTCGAGCTGGATCATGTTGATGGTTTCGTTTGTGGTAGCAGGGTGAAAACTGTAGATAATTTTGATATCGTTAGCAAACACATACGAAATTCCGAATTTCACAGCGTGAAATATTTCTTCAAAATACATCAAAACGGTATAGGACCAAGGACACCACACGGCACTACTCCACTTGTGACTGCTATTGGTTCAGATTTGTGTTCCCGAATCTGTACCATCTGCATCCGATCAGTAAGATACAACTTGAACCACGAAAGCAGGGGTTTTCCGATACCAATTTAGATATTAGTTTTCCATGTGGCAATCGATCGAAAATTTTGTGCAGATTGAATTAATGGTTGCAGAGTTGCCGTTGTTATGTGAGTTAGATGATATAGAAATACAAGTTGGCACGTTTTGCACGAAGGAGCATTCAGGAAACCGTGTTGAGAGACGTTGGTTAACTTACGAGACAGTAGGAAGTCGACTGTTGCAGATTTTCTATGTCGCTCCACCAATTTGGATAAGATAGATGTACAATTTATTGGGCGATGATTCTTCGTTACAAACAGGGAGCTTGATTTTTGTCGCGGTATGAAAATTGCTTCTTTCCACGCTATTGGTACAGTGCCAGAGCTCATGGATAAGGTGAAGATATTCAGTAAATCAAGGGTATGTTGACACCCCCGAGCGCAAGAGATACATTATCTGGTCCGTCGAAGTATTTTACAAGCTTTTTTATGTCACGGAGTTCAAACTTGACACGGGTGAGTTGATCGTGTTGATGGTGGTACATAAAAGCTTGGAGGGTTGTTATCCATGTTAAACGAGGAGCAGAAGTACTGACTAAAGATCTCATTTGTGTGGGTCGGGTCAGTCATTATGTGGTTACCGGCAGTAACCAGTGAGAGCGTGTCTTGACTCCGTTTGGTATTCCTACATTTTAAAATGTTGACTAGATCGTGAATTTTATGCTGAATGAAGAGGGCTCTTTTCCATCAGCGATCTCTTTGTTATGACGTGCCAAATGTAGAGCTGTGGTAAGCTTTTGGTGTAGAGCCAAGAAGGAAAAGTCATTTGTTTTACGATATGGCGTTAGCAACATTTTGAGCTCTAGGGTTGTTTTACGTGATATACGCGTTTTTTCATTGTCAAGAGTGTCGATGCACAGTGGGAGCGAGTACATCAATAAATATGTAAATGTTGTTGCAGAGAACATGTGCAGCGGTTTGAGTCTTCAGTAAGAGAAAAACGGTCCCATTGAGCGGATCTCATTAATTTGGCGAACAGACCCCGGTCGACAGCTTTATGTTTTCTGGTATTTATTTGTGATTCGGACACGACTTATGTCTGGTATCGAGTGGGACCAATGAATGAAAATGGCATCACTCTGAGATCACTGCCAGGAAAGTGCTCAAGAACGGCGGTGGATGCTGATATTATGCCAGTGGTGAATGTTAGGTCTAGTACCCGTTCTAGTTGGAGATCCGACATGTTGGATTCTTCCGTATAAGTGCAGAGAAAAGACCAGATTCGTGTATTTGGTATGTATATAGGCAGAGGTCCATGCTAGGTCTAGAATGTTGAAACCTCCACCGATTATCTTATACTTGACTGGTTGGTCTGCTATATGACAAAACATCTTGTAGTGCGTTAACTTCTGTGACAATGGAATTGGGATGCATGTA